CCCAGGTGTCATGGCTACTATCCGATACAAATGATCATGTCACCCTCTCAGTGGCAAAATTCGTAGGCACAATAATCAAATATCAGAGAAATAATGCTGAGTAAGGTCCTTTAAAATATTGTTGGTTCTAATTTCTGCTTAAGGTGATAGCCATATGAGCAGTACTAGATAGATAGATAGATAGATAGATAGATAGATAGATAGCGCGAGTGGCAATGCCTTGACCACCACATGCCTTCCGACCACAGTGTCCCACCCCAGTATCCCACCCCAGCGAGATTTTCCCTGCTAGATCCCGGACTAGAGGGCCTGCCAGGATAGGCAGCTCAGCTCCAGTCCAGCATTCTGCCAGGCACACCTAAGGACAGACAGAGTTTCACCCTGGGACGGTCAGGAGAAGGCCCCTGCACCCACCCTCGCCCAGTCCCCACGGGTGTGGGCTCAGCACAGTCCAACGCCATGCCCCTTTGGTCAAGAGACTCTTCCTCCTCCCACCCTCCTCATCCAAGGTGTTCATCTGAGTGGAGAGTGGGGGAGGTCCCAGAGTCAGCCTGGGGTGTGTGTGTGGACAATGCCCCCTCTAAGCTGTGGAGTCTTGTGAGCAAAAATTCTAGTTTGTGAGCTGCTGGCATTAAAGTTGTGAGCCAGTGATTTGGCTACTGCATAACTGAGTTTGTTCTGGAGCCATCCCTTCCTGAGCAAAGACAAAAAGGCGTGAGCCGGAGGCTAAAGAACTGTGAGCCAGCTCACACTAACTCAGCTTAGAGGGAACACGGGTGGACCTCATGGACGAAGGGTGGATGAGAAGGAAAGAGAGTGATTGACAGGGAGGGAAGGGAGACAGGAGGGATCTGAGGAAATGGCAGCCAGTACACAAAAGCTGCGGTGGCTGAAGTGGTTCAGACGCTGAACTGCAGGCTGTGGAAGGTCGGTAGTTCAGCAGTTCGAGACCCGGGTGTGCCGCATAACGGAGTGAGCTCCCGTCTCTAGTTCCAGCTCCTGCCAACCTAGCAGTTCGAAAGCAAGAAATTGCAAGTAGATAAATAGGTACCACTTCGGTGGGAAGGTAACAGCGTTCCGTGCGCCTTGGTGTTTAGTCATGCCGGTCACATGACCACGGAAACGTCTTCGGACAGCGCTGGCTCTTCGGCTTGGAAACAGAGATGAGCACCGCAACCCTAGAGTCGGACTCGACTGGCTTTCGAGCAAGGGAACCTTTACCTTTACCTTTTACACAAAACTTGGGTTGCAACAGGGCTGGAAAGTGCTCTGTTTCCTTTTTGTAAAAAAACAGGACATTGGCTTACTGCTGTATGATTCGGTGGGCGGGGGGGGGGCAGCCGCGGACAAACTCCTCTCCTCTGGATCTATAACCCTGGTACAGGAACAGACACTTTCTGTGCAATCCTAGAACCGCTTTCCTGGAATCGGAGGACTGTGGGTGGACCAGCTCCGGATCGCCGAAGGGGAGCGGCCTGGCGTTTGCCTCCATCTCCATCTCCTTCTCCCCCCCCCCCCCCCCCC